TATAACTCATACAGTTCATCATTCCTTAATGATAATCGCCGTAGCCAATCATACCAGGCTGGTACACCATGTAGTAGAACGGGACTGGAGTGACTTTTAGAGTTTGGTTTAAGTTCGTCGCCAGCAGTTGTACGCTCTTGTAAAAGGTTGGTCTATGTTTATTTAGCTCTGCAGTTCCTATTATTTTTTCCAACAGCAAATGGAAAAAATCGCACTGTAAATTATTGTTATGCTGCAATGATGAAATTTTACATCTTACATAACCGTTAATCTATTGAAATACCAATATTTTTTTGGTCATGGTCCTCTGAAAGCACGAAGATTTATGTAAAGCTTGCTATGCAACAATTTGTAGTTTAGATTTTCAGGAAAACTGATTGAAATACGAAAATGAGCCTGAAATTTTTTTCCTTACAAGCCGGCAATGCATTCTTAATAGACATAACTAAAGAGTTTCCTCCATTTTGTTTAAATAAAATCCGCGCAGGAGCTTAATTTTTCTTTTGAGGCCGTAGCAACAACTTTGCGTCGTGATGTTGTAAATTAAAGAAATCGAAAATTGGCTTACAGGTTACAATTTTTTTTTATATACAGAATTCATTTATTTACTGGATCTTCTATAATATAAGCCTAACAGTAAGTGTACAAATCTTAAAAACTAAATTGCAAACATGACAGCTCGAGTTATTTTACCCTGAGCCCTTTTCAAACTACAGCGCTCTCTTTAGAAGGCGGGAACATCTCTTCGCTGCAGGCGGAAGATTCTCGATGGGTTGGATAAAGCATTAGCTAGCGGATTTAGCTTACAATAAATAAGAATATATTCAAATTATATCCATTCAACATTCCTAACTTTCAATTCTTGCTTGTTTTTTACGGCAGCCGCCGTGGCCGAGTGCTTAGCATTGCGTATCGCCGCTCGGGGCTTCTAAAAATTATAGAATGGAAAGTTAATTTAAATAAAGATTAAGCTAGTTTCTAATTGCGATCGCCCCACGGTAGGTAATGTCAAGCCATCCAAGTGCATTTTTGACATGAAACATCACCCATTCGAAGACGGCTTAGTATAAACTGTAGATCTCCTCATTTGTTGGAAAACCATCAACACACATGCTACAAATTGCAGGAAGAGCTCGGCCGAAAATCGCTTCAGCGAATACAAAGTGCAAATTATACTCGTATCTATATACATTGAGATATAATAATAGTCGCAGTTTGGTTCATCATGATCTGCAATGGAACAGACGGTCCAGAAAAAATATTATTTGAGTGTTTTGAGGTGTTTGCGCGAAAACATCCGTCGTAAATGACCGGAATTGTGGGCCTTTCATAGCTTTAGTTACCAACGATTTTAAGACCAAAAACTCGTTCAATACCACCGTTTTCACCGGATTCCAAAACTTAAATTACCACTTCGCTTCACCGTTTCGACTCGTTTTCGGCCGTAAAAGAAAATTCGCAGAAGGTAGTGAGGTCGACAGCTGCTGCAAAAAAACTGGTTGACAGACCGCGCTCATTTTTGGCTTAGTAATTTAGGACAGAGGAAACAACTAAACAAAAAAAGTGCTGAAAAATAATCAGACACTTTCTGGTCGTAATGTATGTAGTTTTTACTGGCTGAAATTTTCTCAACACGAAATTGCAAATTCATCTCCAAATTAAATGTAAAAATTAAGTTGTGGAACATTGTTATAGTGTCTCCCACTATTCCCTTAACGTTATTTTGAACATACACACATACACACGAAGTTTTAACTCATTAAGAATATTACCAATTGCAAAGTATACTAATTCCTAAGAATTTTAATATGTATATTTATAATTTTGTTAATTGTTTTTTCGCAAAGAATATCAAAATATATTTATAAATTGAATTTTACAAAGAATTGTTCCGCTAACGAAAATGCAACATTAACAAAATAATACAATAGTATATAAGAAAATAGAAAATAAAGAATAAAGCGCAATTATTGAACGAATTTTAAATCGAGTTGTTTCAATTTTAGTTGTTTCTCGTTACGAGGAAAAAAAGTGAACATCTCATGTTGCAATAAGATTATGTTCGTGCGTATGAGCGAATTTTGTTACAGAGTCAGAAGGCGTTTGCATTTCGTCGACGTCGACGTTAACCGATGCTAATTCTGTGAACACTGAATTTACTGATTACTATTGTATATGAAAATTTATAAGTATATTTCTTTGAGTATCCAACACATAATAGACGCTCGACATAGTATTTATTTAGTCTTCCTTTGATATTCAACATAAAATAAATCAAGTCGGGTCTGCAAATCAGGAGCTATTTCGAAATAAGAAGACTTACTGCCGATTGAAAAAAAATTGAAACAAAAATTATGAAATAGCGATAGCTGAGTATCCAAAACATAATAGAAATTCGACTTAGTATTAAGTTGATCTTCCTTTGATATTTAATATAATATTAGAGTCTTATTTCATCAGTTGGATCCATAGGCGGTATATCTCTTACTACGCAAAAGAAAAAAAAAGAAGTGACGCTAATAAATCGAATAACAGGAATATGGAAATAGCTATAACTGTATTTTTGCAGTTAATGAAAATTATGTTTTAAAGTATTGTTCACAGTAGTCAGAGATGTGTTATGATATTCGCTCTCGCTGTTGTCGCAAACTACGCGACAAATCACTAACTAAGCGACGAATATTTTGAAGTTGTTAGCGATATCGACAAAATATTGTTATTTCATTAAGGTTAAAATAAAGTAATGTAAATCGAGAAATGGCCGAAGTTATATAAAAATTAAATAAAATATTAAACAAAAATGCTTTTGAGTATTTGGAGGAGGTATCATCTTTGGATAGAAGTTTGCTTCCATTTGAATGCAACTGAGTTCCTTGACAGCCAACTAAAAGACAGAAGAATAACAGCATTAGCTACGAAAAACCAGGTGAAAATATAACTTTGAAATATTTTCTTCACTTTTAATACAATTAAAGCTTCTAACCGCCTTGCAATTCTTTGCAACTGAATGCTATCAACGTACCGTCGGAGAGAAGTGGGGAATTTATATATGAGTCGGTCGTCATTAAAACTTTTTTATTCATCGCGTGACAGAAGCAGTCAACCGTTCAATGTTTCCTGAGAAGGTTAGATTTCGCAATAATTTATTATCATTAAATAGGCGGCTTCAAAGGAAATGTTTGCCTCATCATCGTTTCCATTTGTTAACTATCGATGGCACTCATATGCCTATCATGAGAGCCAGAAATCATGAACAAGCCTTCCATTCCAACTTTTTTTTTTAATTACTAGAATATTAACAAAGTTCTTTTTACCTGTCTATAGATATGTGATACTCATTATTTGTAGGTCCCCTACAGAGCGAAGAGTCATGTAGCGTGGTTTTGGAAGTGGAGGCCATAATATTTTTTGATTTGATAAACTTTGTAATGCATTGCAATTCATTTAATAAAAACAATTGATGCAACGAAGTTATTTGTTTTTGTCATTCTTCTTTCTGCTTTTCGCATATTTCGCATGCGACAAAATTCGCAAGTTTGCGATCCGACAAATCGTGTCTATAAAAGTTACAGAATTTACTGAGCTATGTAAACTTGATTTGCCGACAAACAAACAATCAAAACTCAACGCATATTTCCACTTGTTCGCCCGTTATCGCCTAAATTAACTCAATGGATGCTGGTGCTAGTACGAAAAAAATTATTGATTTGTTGTTACTTTCTTTGAAGCACAGAACTTACCAATAACATGTGTAAGTGCAAAAAATCAAATAAATAAATAAATTTCGTTACTTTTTTTTAACACCCGAAATTGTATTTGGTATTCTGGCGAACTGGTTACAATGTATGAAAAAACTTTGGCAGCACTGCTTTTTTTGTCCTTGTCAAATTACTTTTGCCAGTTGATAAAGTAAAAAGAAAAATATTCACATCAGAATGGAAGACGGTGCACAAAAAAATTAAAAAAATTTAGTAATTTGTTTATTAAATCATAAATATTAGAACCTAATTTTGCAAAATATGCCTAAGCGCCACAAAAAAAACTTGAATGCAAGCTCTCTTCCAAATTAAAAGGGTCATTGGTTTCACGCAAACTTCTTAGCATACGCCTTTTTACCCTTTTTCCTTCATCTTCAATGGATTCCAGGCCTAAAATATGCCTACGCATTTCGGTTTTTTATTTTTTCTTAAAATAACAAAACAAAATCAAACAGTAGATTTTTTGTCACCTCCTATTTCACTGGTAACGAAATTTAGAGGGTGAGAGTGACCTCAGAATACGAAATGGCAACAAAATTTTCTGAATGGTAAATTTTAATACCAAACTAAATTTCGTTACCTCGACAGAATAGGCCTGTTTGTGTAAAAATTTCAGTTTTTTCAATCGATTAATTAATTTGAAATTGGTCAGCTTTGATTATCAAGTTATTACTGCTGTATGCCTGCTGTTTTAAAAGTCGTTTGCAGTCAAGATTCGAACCCATGACCATTTCTTTTGTTGCACGTACTGCTCATCGAATGAACTGTATTTTCGTATTGCTTACATAAATATATATATGTACATATGCAGTAATTAAGTAGTTTGAAGTTCAGATGCCAAAAAGGTTGGGCTTTTACTATATGAAACTTAAAAATGAACAAATTTCTTCATTAGCAAATAGCATAAATAACTACTTAAATCTACTCATATTCATGACCTTTATGACATTCATTAGCAATTTAACTAAAAATGTATACTTCGGTTGATTCAGTCATCGTTCATCACGTCAAAGGCGTACAAATAGATTTTCTGTGTATAATATTATAAGTTTTATTGAAGTGAAGAGTTAAAGTAAAAATGCTTTCTGCGTTTTTCTTAATCAGTATAACAATTATTTCCCTGTGCGCCATCCTTTGGTCACGCAGGAAATATTACAAATTGATGTTTAAACTGCCTGGTAAAATTGGATATCCTCTTTTGGGCAACGCTTTACAAATTTCACGAAGAGACGGTATGAAATGTTATTAAATTATTCAACCAAATTATTCATCGAGAAATATTCGAAACTAAAGTACATAAATAAAATATAATCATATTTTAAATAACATAATTATAAATACAAATATTTAATGCTCGTTTTCAATAAATTAGAATTTGCTCTTATTGAGAATATACTTTGTTTTGGCCATAATCGACTGGGAGTAATCCTTTTCGATTTGTGGCGGCTTTGAGGTTAGAGTGACGGAATGATATTACAAATTCAAAATAGTATTTAATATATTCGCCTCATCGGCAAAATGCTTCCTCTATTTATGTGCCTATGATGCATGTATGCTCTGTGCTTTTTGTTTCTTTTTAACAAAGTGGCAGCTTAGAAATCCTCACAAACAATCCTCTCGCCGTCTCTTATGACGGTAGCCGAGTGGTTAACATTGCATATTGATATTCGGAAGGCTCGGTCTAAAATTTTTTTCATGAGGAGTTTATTTCATGTTGTTGGAGAAACATCATGACGAAAAAACCACAAATTGGAGGAGGTTACAAAGCGCCAATTATATATATATGTATATGTAAACATTGAATAACTTTGACTTTTACCAACCGATTAACTTGGTTATACATGTTCTGTAGGCAAACATTTGTGCCAAAATTATCGTAGGAAAAGGAGTTAATTTTGCTGTGGTCCATAAAGACGGCCACTTGATTGATGTTGTATTTCAAAAATAATCGAAATAATGATATAAAATAATTAATTTTTCCAAAGATATTTAGTTTTACCGACGTGTGTACACATGTATAATTTCGTTCACATTTTTATCCATAGTAATTTCATAATTTGGACTGTTGATATTATAGGGCGAGTGAGAAAAGTTGCGCTTTTTTTGCACTAAGCCGCTACACATTGGTCGCGAAATTTAGCTTCATTCAGACTTGTTCATTTTAATAATAACTACTTTTTGTGAATAGTCTTCGTGAATAGTCTTCGTGTACTTGTTTGCTCCAAAAAATGTATTAAATATCGAAACAAATTCTTTTTTCAAACTTCGTTGTCTTTATCATCTTAAATCAGAATACACGATATTTAACTGTAAGCCAATATGATTAATAATAAGCTCATAACATAAATATTCTTCAAATATAAGGCAAACTATGTTTAGGAGAAATGAGCAGCCAGCCGGGGTCCATAAATTGCGAGCAAATTGTAAGATTGAGCACACTGCGAGTCAGACAAGTTGTGATGGATTATAATTGTTGCATTTATAATGTCCATATACTGCATTTAAATTTTATGTAGGATTCTTTGGCGAAAGCGTCAAGTATGTATTGTAGTAAGGGTGCTTGGAATATTTCAGTCAGCAAAAACTAGAAATTGTGAATCACAGCTGATTTGTGATCATTTGAATGAATTTTTGTCGACAAAACAAAATTGATTTAAAATGAAAATAATATTAATACCTCAATGATAATTATATACTAACAAAATAAGTACCCAAATGTAGTTTTATTAAATTAAATTTAATGATAACAACGATTAAATTAAATAGTTAAAGAACTCGTTAAATTAAAATGCCACGAGTGGAATCAAAATCTTAACGTTGTTGTATAACGCGATGAAAACTCAGTGAATTCGTTTCCCTGGGAGAGCGTAAGACATCTTGCTCTCTTATTTTCATTACTGGCCAATTTTTACTGACTTTTCTCAACGAACACAGATAATTACATATAATATGCACATGGGTAAATCTCCGGCAGTCTTCATGAAGCTGCTTTCTAAACGATTGTTTAGTTAAAATTTTATTCATAAAACTAAGGCAATCTACAGAGCGTACGTATTGTATATCTAATTAAAAAATTAAATTTGTTTGATAGATGTTTAGATAAATGTACAGGGGACATACACACATTTCTCCTCAGAAAATGGGCAGGACTCAGTTTCTTTTTGTCCAGATTCAATTATTCAAATACATACACATGAAAATATATAATATAATATAATAATACATACCAAATGTTCTCATTCACAGATATGTTGAACATGTTGAAAGAGAAAGAAACAGAATATGGTGGTCTCTTTTTATCATGGATCGGCCCATTTCCAATAGCTGTCGTAAGTGAGCCCCAATTAGCGCAAGATGTGCTAAACTCGCCAAATTGTGTCAACAAGAGTTTTGTCTATAAAGGAGTGGAAGATGCCACTGGACCAGGGCTGTTCACATTAGATGGTAAAATTTAAAATTTCTCTTTATTAATATTGTTCACTTACCTACAAATGTTACGTTCATGTGTAGATCCAGAATGGAGTTACCACAGAAAATTACTGAATCCAGCTTTTTCGCACAAAATATTGTTAAGCTTTATACCAATTTTTAACAAAGAGGTTGATAATTTAATAAAAGTTTTCGAGACGATCCAAAATTCTAATGTGGATCTTGCGACGATATTACAAAACTTTACATTATCGATTGCCACACGTAAGTATCACAATACAAATTATCCAAATTTTAACGCACATAAGTATAGACGCATTGATCGCAACAAGCTGATTTTTTTATGAAAAAGCTCTAAAGCTCGGCGTTAGATCAGTCGTAACTCGAAATCATAAAGGCACTACTCGTTATAAAATTTTCTAAATCATTAATTCGATAATATTTTATGGCACATTGACATTCAACCGATAATTTATTCTTAAGTGTCCAAATAATGTCTAATTCAATGATAAATATATTTTTCGTTAACGCAAATATAATAGCCACATATCCCTATCCTTTCCTTAGGATATTATGAAGTTTGTTCTATAGCATTCAAATATTCATTCAAATATGTAGTTAGTGTTTTGAAAACGCTGATTATCTGCCAAACTCCTCCTTCAAATTTCGGCGCGCGTCCTGATGACAGATTATTGTAAGCCGCCTCGGAACGGCTGGTGGATTTTTAGGAGGAGCTTTTATTTCATGTTAGAAATACACTAAATTAATTATCAATTATTAATGGATTTTGGGGGAACCAGCACTCGAACCCTGGCTTTCCGAACGGCACTTCTCAATGCTAACTACTCAGCTATCGTGGCCGTCATCATAGCAATTAAGAATTTAAAAAATACTTGGAGGAAACTGGTCTAATCGCGCTTGTCTTAAATTCAAAAGAGCCAAAAGGTGTATTCAGGAAGGTTTTTTTCTGGCACTTAAATTTACACGATATTTTTGTGTTTGTTGTATCATACATACTTTTAGAAACTACCATGGGTCAGATTATGTCAGATAAAGGCGTTGACTCGGGCGTGGACGAATCTTTATTGCAAGCCTTTCCATAGTAAGTAACGCAATATAAATACCTACTAATTCAAGCAACATCTTATATGTATATCTTTTAACTATTAAGTGTTCAAGAGACAATTGTTGAAATGGGAACCTTGTCCTGGCTTAGCATGAAGGTGCTGGTCTGGATTTTGGGAGATTATGAGAAATACAAAAAGGCTAAAGCAACAATTCGCAAATTCATTGGAAATGTAAGTTTTCTCAACATCTTTTAATTATTGTGCGGATTGTACAATTTTACATATGTAAGTATGTATAATTAAAAGACGTATACAAAATATTTTTCACAACGCCAAATAATATTGAATTCAGATTCAGTGCAGCAAAAGCAAAATAAGTTAATTCTAAAAATTTAAGACAAAAAAGTCTTTTGGATTAACATTTTAATTACGTTACATACATATATAGCTAATTCTGGAGCGGACGAAAATTATATCGGAAAAGTCGAAACTTGATGGAAATATATTTATAAATCGCGCCATTGAATTGCTCCAGCAGGGAAACTTCACACACAAAAATGTCGAAGATGAATCAATTGTCATCGTTTTTGGTGTATGTTTGGCTTAATAAATTAAATATATTTTATAAGTAAAAGAGTTTGTAAATATATCACTGATTTGTAGGCATTCGAAACGACAGCAACTACTTTAAAGCATATTATAACATTATTAGCAATGCATCCAGAATATCAAGATAGAGCCTTCGAAGAAATATCCTCACTGCTCCCTCGAAAAGAACATATCGAAATGAGTTATTCGGACATACAGCAACTCTCCTAAGATAGGTTACTATGGACGGCTGGTACGTGAGTTGGGTAGTTGCAGCAATA